TATTCAGATGTGTTGCAATTTGCTTTATTTTCTAACATATGATCATTGTTATTTCACTTGAATGTTTAAAAAAATTCTGTCTCTATATTTCTATCAACTTTTTTAATAGTGTTAGTAAAATATTTACTATCTGTACTAGTTTTTGATTGCTTATCTGACCACTTATTTATAGAACTGACTGTAGTGGTTTGAAGACAGAGGGTCTAGCCAGGTTGCCCAAACTGCCCCAAACCTCGGCTCCAGAGATTCTCCTTTTTCAGCCTCCTAATAGTTGGGACTACAGGGAGAGCCCTCCACATCCAGTTCAACAGAGACATTTTAAAATTTGCTGCTCTAATGCTAGACTTACCAATTTTTCCTTATAATTTCATCAGTTTTGTTTTAAATATTTTGATTTTGTTTTAAATATTTTGATATTGTATTAGTATGAAAACATTTTGAATTGTTATAGTTTCCTGGCAAATTGAACCTTTTAGCAATATGTTGTAACATTTAAAAAACTCTGCTGATGCCCTTTGTCCCACAGCCTTCTCCAGTTTAATGTATCCTATTCAGCTTTCTTTGATTGTTTGAAATATATTTTCTATCTCTTTTGCTTTTTCATATCTATGCCACTATTATGTTTTATTTGTATCTTTATAAATAGCATGCAGCTGGAATTTTAAAAATCTAGTCTAATAATCTTAATCTTTTCATCACAAATTTAATTCATTCATATTTATTGTGAGCTCTGATACATTCAGATTCCTTTCTGCCATTTTATGCCATGCATTCAACCTCTCTTCCTTTTCCCAGGTTCTCTTTCCAATCTGTTGCTACCTTTTAAGACACAAATTTAAATTTTTTTCCCTCGCATCTCACTCCTTTGCTTTATTTTTAGGTGTAAAGCATCCTATTTCTATAATATTATTTATTTCCCTAAAGATAATAATATGCTATAGCCATTTAATGGTGTCTACAGCTAATATTGATCCTCTTTGCACACAATACAAGAAATGCAGAGCGCATTTATTATAAATTACATGTTTGCAGTTATTCTGATTTTTAGTTCCATGTTGCTATTTTTAACCACACAAATTACATGTTGTTTTTCCATAGTTAATGTTTGTTTAAGCTGATCCACACATTTACAGTTCTGTGAGATAAACATTCCTTCTTGAACCTAAGACATCTCTTCTTGGATCTTTTCCTTCTTCCTAGAAATCACCTCATAAAAGTCCCTTTAATAGTGGTCAGCCTCGGCCTTTCCAAATGTCTTATTTTGCCGTCCTGGTTTAGTTTCCGCCAAGCCCTGTTTCCAGCGCTCGGACTCCCGCTGCCTGTGTCTCCTGTGTAGCTGCCGTCTTTGCCCAGCCAGGGACCCATTTTCTCTCTGTCCATGGATAAAAGCCTCTCACTCTCATCCCCTACGATGGACCTGAATAGGGACTGCACTAAATTGCCTTTCTTAGATGCACCGGGCTCCCTAAATATGAAGATTAATAACCTCGAAAGGTATTAGAAAAATCTCAGCCATTACCTCCATGGGCACTGCTTCTCTGTTTTTCTCCTAGATTTCTAATCAGAAATGCGTTGCATCTATGATTGTATTAAATTACAGGTTTGATTTATTGCATTTCCTCTTGCTGTCTTCTGATTTCTTGTGTTAATGCTGTGTGTCTCTTAAACATGGCAGCTCCATCCTCGCCCTCTCTCTGTGCTGTCCCTCAGGAGTCTGTGGGAGTTGAAGGAGCCTTCCATTGTCATGATTCTTTCTTCAACTGTGTCCACCGTGCAGCTCCACCTCTCCAGTGACATTTTTGTTTTTATTCTTCTAAAGTTTTTTCTTTTCATTCTAAGCCCTTGTCTGACATTTGGCCAAGGAAGGTGCGAGCTCTTTTGGTCCGCGGCTCCCCGGCTGGACTCTGGTCGCTGTGGAAGGTGCTGCTGAGGCTCCAGAGTGTTGTTCCATCTCCCTCACCTTCTGGGGTCCTGGTCTGGGCAGAAGTTTGCTGGACGCAGCCTTACCAGTGCAGCAGGTACCCCGCGGCCATTTGGGCTCTTGTCCCCGCTGGCCTGAGTGCCCGCACATAGGATGTGTGTGGGCTGTGGCTGAGCCTTTGGGACATGTCTCAACACGTGGCATTTGGTGGCAACACCTTGCCAGGTTAACGGGTATTACCCACTGGACGTCGTGGATTCTGAGACACAGCCATTGCTGGGGATTTCAGATGAGACTGTGCTATCCTGTCACACTTGTGCCATGTCGAGGGCAAACACAGGGCAGTTCTGAGCACACTGCTTGGCAGGTGTTGAGCTCTTTTTTTTTTTTTTTTTAAATTTTTTTTTTTAAATTTTATTTAAGGAGAAAAGAAAAAAAAGCAGAGAAAGGGTACAAGTTATACAGATTTGCAGAAAGAAAAATGAACAGTAGGAAATTACTAGTTAATGGATTACATATTGTCATCTTAGAAATAATTGTTCAAGTCACAAAATTAAAGCTTGTAAAGTGGACATTCCATCAATGATACTGCAAACAGTTCTGTTCAATGATCCAATAAAACTCTGTGATATCATTTTCTATCTTATACACTTAAATATACATGCAGTTATATAGTACAGAGCACTTTCTTTTCCTCTCTTTTGTACAATGACTATTACACATTTTGGGTTTCATTGCTCCCATGGTTCTTATTACTTAGGTGTTGAGCTCTTGATGACTGAGAACCATGCTCCTGTCGCTGTGGGTCACCCCGGCACTTCCAGTGCTGTGCTTCCCTGGGGTCTTGGCATCTCAGTGCTTCCATGGAGTCTCACATTTCACTCATTTGAAATCAGCTGTGAGACATGATATGTGATTATAGAACAAGGTGACAATTTCAAAGCAAGTTGATTTTAGCATAACACACATTGTTGCATATCTCCTCCAAACCCTCCCCTCTTTGCAGGCACACTTCTCCCACGGTTGTTGCCTCTTTCTGAAGCAGCTCTGGACTCTCAGACTGCTTTGGAAAGGATGCCATGGAAAGATTTATTTACTAACTATGAACATGAGCCTCATGTCCTCACGTTCCTGCTCCTGCTGGACATGGAAACACATGGCCTAGCCGTCGAGGTGTCACTCACTGGAGGGGCTCCAGTGCTCCAGGGATCGCCGAGTGCCCTGCAGTGAGAGACTAGACCATGTGGCCCTAGTGCTGAGCTTAACAAGCTTTGGAGATGCTAGGCTGAGCCTGGGCATGGTGTTCCTGCGCTCTATCGCAGCCCTGATGCCATATCTGTGAGTGACAGATCTGTGGAGTGACAGAGCCCCAGGCAGGGCAGGACTGAGTCTGGAGTCCTCCCTGCTCCGAGCCCAAGAACTGCACTGGCTGAACCGCTGGGGAGAGTGGCTCCTTCCAGCTGTGACACAAATTGATGGTTTAAAAAATGCAGTGCTTAAAGCAAGAGGAAAAATTATGTTGTGAAATAATTATGTGGAATTATAGGAATACTTCCAATCTGTTATTAAGCCACAAAAACAACAGTATTAAAAACATCTCCATGAAAAAAAAAAAACATCTCCATGGCGGGGAAGAGGGTGATCTTGAGAAGCCAGGTGCTCTGGTGGGTGGAGGAGTGATGTGTCCTCCTTAAACAGGAGCTCACAGGCGTAGGACCTGGAGGAGGGATGGGGAAGAGGAGCAAGGAGTCATTTTCAGATTAGCAAAAGGTGAACACGGAAACAGATGTTAAAGTTGCAATGTATCCAGCTGGATAAAGGAGCCTCCAGAGCTACTGCTGGGCAGTGCCATCTGCAGCCCTCATCCCAGTGGTAGCCAGGAACAAGGTGGCAGAAAACCCAAATCAACACTGACCCCAGATCCCTAAGAAGCCCTCGGGAGTCTCTGTGGGTGTTTCTTGGCTTGGAGAAGCCCGGACCACTCTCAAATTCCTCCCAAGACCGGGGCTCTGAGACCTCAGTGCCCGAGCTGCCATCTTCGGTGTGGGCTTCCTGGTCCACACCTGAGGCGTTTCAGTTGTCTCTCACCACTGCAACCACCCACACAGCCTGCAGCATAGACGAGCGCCTCTCCATAGGCAGGATGCTGGGGTGACCACTGGCATCCTTCAGAAACCAGGGTGAGCAGAGGGACAGGCATCTCAGAGATGAAGGAAACCAGGTAGGGAGGCCACAATGCCCAGTGCTGTGCGCTGGCACAGGTCCAGAGGAAACAGGTTTCCCTCTGCTCCTCCATGTTCAGATTTTCACTCTTGGGGCAGCTCACAGGTTAGTGTGGGCCCATGTGCACGTTTGAGGCTGCCTCGGAATTCATGAAATAGATTATGTTGTGTGTGATTATCCTAACTGGAAAAGTGTGGGGCAGACAGTGAGGCTCGAGGCCCAGCTGACCTCCTCTGAGCGCAGAGCAGACAGGTGGCAAGCTGTGTCCCCTCGGTGATTTGTGATCACACTAGCACGGGCAGGCACCAGGGAAGAGCAGCACAGCTGTGGGGGACTGTCTACCTGGGTCTGTACCAGAGACCGCAGGAGGCGGTGACTCTTCTCTGCCCGATTGCTTGCTCCCCTGTTTACATAAATAAAACACAGTGAGCCAAATACTCAGGGCTCTTGTCCTCCCCTGCCCCCACTTCTAGCTCAATTTTGCGAACTGTCTTTCATTCTCCTTTGCCCCTGGTTGGGGATAAAGTTGTAACCATTCCTAGCAGGCTTGGTTTCCTACAGAAAAGCAAACAGGTGCTGCTTAGAAAACAAAGTTCATTTGGACAGGATGAACAGCAATCGTCACACAGCCCTGGCTCGCGTTACATCCGGGAATTTCACCACGCAGCCAGCCGCTGCTCTAAAATGACTTTAAGTGTTCACAGTGGCCCTTTATCTACTGCACAGCTCTCATTTTTAGGGGCGCATTGTAAGCTACTCTCTCAGTGAATATTAGTCCCCCTCCCCAGGTTTGCTGTAACGGTTACAACTTACATCCTGGGCCAAATCTTGGTATGTGTGTCTCATTACTTCTCAGGGAGAGAAGCTGTGAGATGGGATTGCAGACCCACAGGTGATCGATCCACAGGCAGCTGGGACCCAGCCCAGTGTGTGCACCAGGAGTCTGACACCACAGACCCACAGGTAGGAGAACACATCGTAATTCCTGTCTCCAGGTGACAACTTTAGAACTGACGCTTTTAAATTTAGACCATTTGAACAAGGGCGTCTGGTTTCCTGTGAGCCCGGCCAGTTTCCATCCACTGACCGCGTCGCCTACACTGGCCAGCTTCCTGCAACTGCCTTGGCATCTGTGGTCCTTTCTTCCGTGGAGACACTTGTTTCCCATTAATAGCCTTTGGGTACGGTGTGGATTTTAATGTTGGTCACTTCTTCCCACCTAGCCATTTAACATTAAAGAGGTATGAAAATTCTAGGTTGTCAACTCCATCAGAAATTTCCTGTGTTTCTACTTCAATGCCATGTTTACCAAATGTGTTCACAACATATTTTTGTGAACATGAGATTTTCTTGCCCTCGTTCGTCTGTGACTTGGTTGTTGCAGCAGCTCACCTGGAGCTGATATGGGGGGAAGGACATGGCGCTTCCACAAAGGTTCCTGCAGAATTTATCAGGTAATTCCACTGAGCATGCTTACACTGCAGCAGAGAATGGTGCTTTGTTCTGTGTGACTTTGCCTCTTCTGTGGAGCTCCAGTGCTGTCCTCTCCACTGCCACACCTAAGCTGGTGTGGGGTGCTGCGAGGAGACCTAGTGCAGAGCAGCAGTAACCCCTGACCTGGCTTCCCTACCACTTTGTACTTCCACGTCTCGCCACTGCTGTGAGCTCCCTCTCACCTGCACAAGAGCAGGTGACTGTCTTACGAGTCCTAAACTTGATAATTATTGATAGGATTATTTCCAGAAGATGTGAAGTATAAAACATAAAAGGCCTTTATTCTGAGAACACGGAGAGAGATAACCAACACCCCTCGACCACTGTAGTCCAGCGATCTCTCTGGCGGACATGTGGCGTGGGGGGTATATAAGTAGCCTAAGCTTAGGGTAGTGCCCTAGGGCCGTTAGAGATGCACAGGTATCTCATTGGCACACGTTTGGTGCCAGGTGCAGATTCCTGAGGGTGGGGGGAGATAGAGTCACAGGTAAATCTCTAGCGGCGGGGGAGGTTCCGGTTGAGGCTTTCCTGGCTATAGTGTCCCGTCTGGGCCAAAACCCTTTCAATTATAAATCTGAGACTTTAGAGCAGGTAATAGCAATAGTGCAGGTGCCCAGTTACGGTGTTTAATTTCCACGAACACTTCTTTGTTTAAGCATGCAGGTGGGTCTGCAGTTGTGTGCATTTGATCTGTGCCCGGGTCGGGAGCCCCGTCTTGGTTCTGGTTTGTGTCTCTGCTGTGTTCGGATGGCTTTTCCAAGCCGAGTTTAGGATGGCAGGATGGGGTAGTCTTCTTCCTGTGTTCTCCGCACCGCGTCCAGGCCCTGACAGTGACAGCTTCCGTCAGGTTTACTTCTGTGTATTCCACTCTTGGTGCCTGAATGTCTCTTCTGTGCTGGGAATCAGGTCCCGCGTGCAGGCTCAGTGAGGGCCCCGTCCTCTACCTCCTGTCCTCACATGGAGGACATTATCCTTCCCTCCCTTCCGCTTGACGCTGGCTCCTGGGGAAGGGCGTCCAGTCTGAGCTACGTTTCTGCACTGTCCACTTGAGGCTGCAGTGACATTGCTAGTTTGTCAGCCTCCCTTCCTTCCCTTCCAGCTGTGTGTTCCTGCTCAGCCCTTTCTAGGTTCCTCCGCCATGGCCTTGGTCTACACAGAGCCTCCACACCCCACAGGCGCCTCCTGCATTCATGCAGCCAAGACTGCACTAAGAACACCAGGCAGCGTCTACATAGCACACAGCCCATGTCTCTCACTGGCCTGCTCCTCCCGGAGCACGCGCTGCATCAGATGGGGGAGTGGGGAGAGGGGCAGCTCCTGGCAGAGCCCCTGTGCCCGTAGGGCTGCAGTGTGTGTGTACAGGGCATGGAGACTGTCTTCTGGTAGACACTCTGGGTGCAGTTCTGTGGGACCAGGAGAGGAGGCCCATCCCTCTCCAAGGACAATGGAGCAGAGTCTCGGATGCCTTTGAACGCTGCCTGCCCTGCTTCGTTTTTCTAGCACTGTATGTGGAAGATCCCACCCCAGGGCACAGGCTCTCCTTGTCCCCTTTCCCTGCCTTCGCCTCATGTCTAGTCTAGGTCTCACTTTGGTGCAGGAGCTGGGAAGAGACCAGGAGTTGGCTGAGGACCTCAGATCCCTTCAGGGGCAATCAGTGGCAGAGGAGGGCAGCCGGCCTGGCTTCCCAACTTCAAAGGTGGTGACTTGGACTACTGGAAACATCTCCAAGGTTTTAGATTTTTTTTGATCTCCTTGAAACTGGGGAACCATTAAGTCATTGTAATAATTGTGAGAGAGAAGCACTCTCAGCAGAGTCCCAGAGTTGGGAGGCCTCAGCCTCACTCTGCCCTTGGTTTTTGTTACGCAGCATCTGTGTTTATTCAGGTAGTTGTTCTGAAGGTCTGCATGCAGTGTGACCCATTGTGGAAGGTGAGGGAGCTGGGCAGAGAGCGGCTGGAGAAATGTGGTTTTGTGTTACGGCTTAAGTGGGAGGAGGAGAGGCCATGTGTCCTATCTCGTGGGCATTGGGTGTGCCACCATCTCTGGGCCACACACAGCACCCCTATGTGAAGCAAGGGTGAGACCTGCACCTGAGAGTACATGTGTCCCTCCCCTGCAGGTGGCAGTGTTTGCAGGGAGGCTGGGGACAGCTGTGATCCTGGTGCTGCAGCCTGCCTCTTTTGGGTCCATTGCTCCAGGCTGGGCAGGTCGTGACCAGCAGCTGGCTGCCATGTGGTGCCTGTGGCTCCTGCTCATTTAGCACTGGGAATGGGTGTGCAGCATCTAGCTTGCCCTCCAGCCAGGTGAGCTGCGTGTACCTCATTGGCAGGTTGGAGATTTGCTTGTGGGCCTAAGACTTGAGGAGCTGCCCACCTCTCTGTAGAAATGACACATCCTGGACCTCATGTCCAGGAAGACTCTGCTTGTCTCCACCAGAGTGGAGTGGACCAGGAGAGGCAGGAGCAGGACGTCACTGCAGGTTGTCCTCTGTGGAGACAGGAGTGACCTGCTATTATGAAAGTACCCAGCTGCTGTGTCTGATGTCTGATGCTATTTAAGGCTTTTGCATCTGCGTGTTACTGGGGTTGAACCCAGGGCCTTTGTCCTGAGCTACATTCCTAGCCCTTTTAAATTTTTATTTACTTTATTTATTTTTATTTTATTTTATTTTTGGTACTAGGGCGTGAACTTAGTCATAAGTTGCATTTGCCAGGCAGGCACTTGTGCTGCTGAGCTAAATCCCTGGCCTTTTTTAATTTTTAATTTTTCATTGTGAGACCGTCTCACTAACTCACTAAATTGCCTAGGCTGGGCTCAAATTAGCAGTCTTTTTGCTCAGTCTCCAGGGTTGGGATTACAGGTGTGCTGCCCCACACCTGTGTGAGCATCTTTACTGAATCTGCCGCTGTGCTCGGCTCTTAGTGGTAGAGCTGTTATTCTGCCAGAGAAGCGGGCACATGGACTCCGCAGGTGTCCAGGACCCACGAGTACTTCATGTTATATGGTGAAAGGGATTTTGCTGAGGGCCCTAAGGTTGCAGACCTTGAAATAGGGAGCTTGCCTAGACCCAGGTGGGGAAGCCAGCATAATCCCAGAGCCCCTAAGGTTAAATCAGCTGGAGAGAGGAGGAGAAGGGGCCCAGACCAAAGAAGGACAAGGATTCGGCATCCATCCTGGCCCTGCCACAGCCCATAGCCCAGTGACTCTGGGGTCCAGGGATGGCCTCCCTCATCTCCACTTCCCTTATCTCCCTCTGCTCGCTGCTCGCTCAGTCCTTGTCACAGTGGACACCACGCCTTGCTTCTGGCTCTGCAGTGCTGAAGCAGGAAGCACACACTGCAGTGGGCTGGGTTTCTTGGGCAGGCAAGGGCTCTCTGCTGCCTCCACATCGGACTGTCCCCTGGCAGTTGGTCACCCTACATAAGCTCCTATTGCTCTTCCTCCAAAGCCATCATGCTGGTGTGGGATCCCCTCCTAGAGGCCTCCTGAGCTGGGATCCAGGGGAGGAGATGAGTCCTGGGAGGAAGGCAGGGACCCTCCCGGGCAGGGAGGGACTGTCACTGCAGAAAGGAAAAGGGGCTTTACATGGTCTCCGCCTGCACAGGGCCCAGCCCCCCAGCCCTCTGGTCCAGCAGAGACTCTCCCCTGAGAGTCTGTCTCTTTCTCATTCCTTATTGCATCTGCTTCCTGGGGCTGCTTACAAAGTGCAGATGACGGTGGCATGTGGTACAGAAGTCTGTCCTCCTACTGTCCAGTCCACTTAATCCCAAGGCTGTCACAGGGCTGTCATTGCCTCCCTTTGCTAAGGTTGCTGGCAATGACCGGCAGCTGTAGGTGCCTCTCTGCAATCTCCACCTCCTGGTCTTCTTCCTTCCCAAGGTTTTTTTTTCCAACACCTGGGATACTTCAGGGTCCATGCTCCAGGGTGATCTCATCTGACCTGGCTCTGTTTGCAAAGATCTTATTTCCCAGAAAGTCTGTTATGGTCCAGATGCCCCAAAGGCCCGAACACTGAGGGCTCAGTCCCAGGGCAGTCAGGCTGTGAGGTGGGCTTTGGCAAGAGATCAGATCCTCTAGGCTCTGACTTCTTGACTAGATGAATCTGTGGACAGGTCCCTAATTGGAGGGGCCTTCAGGAAGTGATGGAAACGCAAGAGTGGGGCCAGGTAAAGGGAGAGGCTACTGGGGGCATGTCTTTGGGGTGGTGTCTTGTCCCTGCACCCTCCCCCACTGCTTCCTGGCTCCCTTGATGAGAGCAGTCTCTTCCACGCCACACTCCTCCCGCCACGATGTTCTGCCTTGGCTAAGCACAGAGCAGTGGAGCCAGCCAGCCTCAGACCAAGACTTCCGAAACCAGGAGCCAAAGTAAATCTGTCCATCTTTAAGTCGATTTTCTCAGTTGTTTGTTGGAGAGAATAGAACCTGACTGACACACACTATGTCTTGGTCCTTTTTTACTGCCATGACAG